TTTTTATATCACAGAAGTTATCCAATTATTTTCGTCGATCATCAGGTGAAGCGATACTTTTTTCAAGGGACTGTATAAGCTTAAAATATTTTTCACCAAAAATTTTTTAAGACATAATCTTGTTTAAAGTAAAAATGTAATCTATTTTGAATAGTTGTAGCTTTACTTAGAGGACCCTTTTTGATATAAAAATATATTTATTAAAAAGCTTTAATGATGTAGTTTTGTTTTGTGTTAATAATGAGGTTCATGTTTATTATGAAATAATGAATTGTTTTAAAAAGACTATTTGTTATAGTGCAAGTCACTTAGTCCCACAACTTTCTGCGCCACATCGCCAATTTTGGGAAAAATTCCCAATCAAAAATGCAATAAAAATTTTATGGTCACATGATTTTTATTTGTTGTAAAATTCTTTTTTGATTCATGTCTGGGAAATTCATGTGATAAAAGATCAGCAATATAAAAAAAAAATTTTATTTTTATTTTCTTTCAATTCGCCTATTTTTGATATTAACTTTTTTGTGTGTAACACGCCATTTCAGGGCTAAAACATAGTAAATTCGGTAAACTTGTGCAACTTTGAAGCTCAAATTCTCCACAACAACATGACATACCAATGAGATGAAATCGTGATTTTGCAGAGGAAGGTCTTGGCTTCAAATACACGATTTATTTTTGGGTGTTGCATTTCCATTTTTAGAGAATTTGAAAATCTACACGACCAATAAAAAGTTGTGGGACTAAGTGATTTGCACTGTACATGGGCCGAATTTTTTATTTTTGATATATGACGATCTGCAATGTCCTGCGGCTGATGTAAAAAATTCTGTCACCAAGTTCCCTTTTTTATTATGTAAACAGGGTTTAATGTTTTCACCAATTATGTTATAGTTTATTATCATAAAAACCATTTTTGGTTAGAGTGTTCTAGAGGCAGGTTTTGCTGTGAAATGTCTCATTTATTACCTTATTTGGAAAAGATATTCGCACAACAACAAAAATTTCAGCACGTATGATATATCAATTATATCAACACAACCAGTGACATTCTTTTATATCTTGCACAAATTCAATTGAACAATAATAATAATAATAATAATAATAATAACAACAAAAATAATTATTCTGAAATTATTGATAGTACTAATGCTGATAAGTAGAAAGCATAAAGCAATTCTTTAAATAGAGAAAAAGTGTTTACCAAGATCATTCATTACTTTATTTTGCGTTACTTTACATAGTTCACTTGCGCACACACATATATACTCAGTTGAAATTACATCTTCTTAAAAATTTTACAAAAATTCTGTCACCAAGTTCCCTTTTTTATTATGTAAACAGGGTTTAATGTTTTCACCAATTATGTTATAGTTTATTATCATAAAAACCATTTTTGGTTAGAGTGTTCTAGAGGCAGGTTTTGCTGTGAAATGTCTCATTTATTACCTTATTTGGAAAAGATATTCGCACAACAACAAAAATTTCAGCACGTATGATATATCAATTATATCAACACAACCAGTGACATTCTTTTATATCTTGCACAAATTCAATTGAACAATAATAATAATAATAATAATAATAATAACAACAAAAATAATTATTCTGAAATTATTGATAGTACTAATGCTGATAAGTAGAAAGCATAAAGCAATTCTTTAAATAGAGAAAAAGTGTTTACCAAGATCATTCATTACTTTATTTTGCGTTACTTTACATAGTTCACTTGCGCACACACATATATACTCAGTTGAAATTACATCTTCTTAAAAATTTTACATGTAAAAGGGAAATATTATTTAAACCATTAAATGTTGGTTTAACTGAACGAACTGTAACTCATGACCAAGAGCCAGTTTTTTAAAAAAGTCGTCCTATTGACTTGGGCAAAGTTTGGATGAACTAATCTCATATTTTTTTTTCCATTTGAAGAAGTTGGCTGCGATGATAAGTGATAAGTGAGGAAAATTTTCTTTTTTTAAAAAAAAATTAATTTTGTAATTAATTTTTTATTGATTGTTTTTTTGTGCGAGATTGAATAATCAATCAAAAACAAACAATTAATCAATCGATCAATAAGACATTTCTAAAATTAGCAAAATAAAATATAAATATTTATTGTGAATATTTATGAACATCTTTCCTTTTCAAAGTGACCAATGCAAATATAAAAACTACTACATATCGATATAGTCCGTACAACGGTTTTTTGCTCACCAAAACTTTATTATTGAATTATTAATTATTATATAATAATGTTTTTTCTTTTTCTCCTCAATTAAATTTATTTTTGTCCTTCCTTCTTACTTCTTTAACTTCTTTTATTCCTTCAATTCTCTCTTTTTTCCTATTTCCATTTTATCCCTCATTTTTTTTATTTTTCATTGTAATAATTTTATTATACTAAACAATAGAATTAATTTAATTTAATATTCTTTCACCGTTATATTCTTTAAAAAGCTATATTGATATATATATATTTCTTCATATATATAATATACATATACAATATAATAATAAATAGATATACAATATAATAATAAATAGATATTCATAAAAATGTCGAATGCTCAATTTTTAAGAGAATATAAAATTGTAATTGTTGGTGGTGGTGGTAAGTTGTATGTGGGTGATTTGTATTTTTCATCTTTTTCATCTTTTTCATCTTTTTCGTCTTTTTTATCGTTAGGTGTTGGAAAATCTGCATTAACGATTCAATTTATCCAATCACAATTTGTTGATGAATATGATCCTACTATTGAAGGTAAGAATGATTTTTAATAAATTAAACCGAAAAAGAAAAAATATTGATAATAATTATAATTATATTTCTTTTAAAATAATCAGATTCTTATCGTAAACAATGTGTTATTGATGATGAAGTTGCTTTGTTAGATGTGTTGGATACTGCTGGACAAGAGGAATATAGGTATTATTATTAATTAATAAATAAATAAATAAATTAAAATTCCTTTTTGCCATATCAATTAATTTATTATTGATTTAGAGCTATGCGTGAACAATATATGCGTAGTGGCGAAGGATTTCTTTTAGTCTACTCCATCACATCACGCAACTCATTTGAAGAAATTGCAACTTTTCATGAACAGATTCTTAGAGTTAAGGATAAAAACTATTTCCCAATAATTGTGGTAGCCAACAAAAGTGACTTAGAAAAAGAAAGACAAGTTTCAGAACAAGGTTTGCTTTGCTATGCTGCAATTTATTATAATTATAGTGACGAGGATTTTTATATATAATGATTCAAAATTTATATTTATTTATATTAGAGGGACAAGAATTTGCTAAACAATCCAACTGTAGATTCATTGAAACCTCAGCTAAACTACGTACTAATGTTGATGAAGTGTTCTATAATCTTGTTCGTGAAATTCGAAGATACAACAAAGAATTGCAATTATTACAAGACATTGATAAGAAATCATCAAATAATCAACGAAGCGTAAATGGTGGTAAAAATGAGCATTTTGATTCTGTTAATAACCGTGGAAATTGTTTTTGTTGTGTTATTCTGTAAAATATAAATATATTAAATATAAATATATTAAAATATTAATAATAATGTAATATATTTATTTTGTATTGAATATAAATAATATATTGCTTTTATATCAAAATATATATAAAATAGAAAGAATACCCTTTATTTATATGTAGTGTTAAAAATGCGTGTAACTTAATAAAAAAGATACATATAGTCCCAAATTACCGTGTTACTATCTTCTCGGGATTATTTCTAATTGTAACAGAAATTTAAATTGGTACAACATGTGTATTCTAATTATAGATGCGTGAGTCGACTAACATTAAACCTTGTTGCTGCCACCAGCTAGACATATTAATATGGGGTGTGGACAATAGAAACGGACCATGTTGTGAAAAAAGCAATTTTGAGTTAGTATCATTATTATATGTAATTCCTCATGTAGAACATTTTTGGCTTAGAAACCATACCCACTTTGCTTAATAAAACTTTGAGATACCCTCCATTAAAGTTTTAAAAACAATAGTAAATTACTTGAAATGCAGATCTTTTTTTTAAATTTTCTCAAAACATCATTTTCACAACATGGTCCGTTTCTATTGTCCAGACCCCATATATCCTGCTACAATTAAAATTGCAGCAGAGAGGTCAATCCAAGTAAGTCCCTTTTATAAATGGGTCAGGTCTCTCTCCATAAGTGTTCATGTGCAAAAATGTTCCTTATGTTACTGGCAGTATTAACATCTCGATTCCAATGTGCCAGACGGACTGATTTGCAGACTCTGATAGACCAGAATTTTTGATGCTTATAAAACCATCTATCACGCAAAGAACAGACTGAGGACGCACGGAACTCGTCACCTTGCAGTGTCTCGGCGGAATTGTTTTACGGGGCCTGGAGCATGCCCATGTGATGCTGATAGAATTTTTACCGCCAAATGCAACAACTGTATTATTATTACCACTTGCACAAAATATCAAGGCCTTCTGTTTATTAATAAAATATTTCCATCACAAACGATACCAGCGACGCTCACCATAAAAATCAAGGATTGTATCGAGGTAAAACAGAATGTAGGCGAAGTAAAAGCCATATTCACAGACGTTAGTGACAGCAGGGGTTGGAATTTCTAGATTTTGTATTAGCATTAAATGAAAGGTATATAATACTATTCAATGTAATTCTTGCAAATTAAATTAACTCATCTCGAATAGCAGCCTGAAGGTATTTGTTTTTTTCTAACCGCAACTCACGTTTTTTGCGAGCATGAATAAAAACTGCCACTCCTTGTTGGAACAACTCACAACTTTTTCATCTGAACTAGGATCCAGCACAAATACTTTGCACACATTCAAATCAATATTCGATCCTTCTTCTTTATCATCATCAACTTTCTTCTGCATACCGACTGATAAGACATCAGTTGAGAAAGATTCGATTTTGGGTAGTGACTTTATTAATATTAAATGCTTCCATCCACCAAGTTTCTCAACTCTGAATCTTTGAATATTAGTTACTCTTTCTTTTTCAATTGATTTGTACATAAAATATAAAGCATCAGTGTCGACTAATATGTACTTTTGTTAGAAAGGGTATTTGGGCAGAAGTGTGAAGAGACAAAGGCCACGTTCTCGGTTATGCTTGGTAAAGGTGGAAAAGATTTTATGGAGACCTGGAAGATATGACCACTAAGATGCTTTTACAGATGCACCATCAAGAGCTTGATTTTGGAACAATGTCTGTTGCGCTCTGAGTGAATATATTGAATGTGGGTAGTAAGGTAAATGAGGTACTGCGAATGTGATATAGAGAGTTTATCGATAATATTTGAAGGGAGGGAAGGGAGATCTCGATTTTTCAAATTGGTAATGAAATGACTTACGATAGAGTCAATGTAAGGGAAACTATGAATCTTAAATAATTTATATTTTATTTTTATTCATCTTTAAGTTGGTTATTGAGATTTGTTGTTATGTGGTTCTGACAATTTATAACATATTCCCATGCAACAGTGGAGATAATTTATCCTCGAGGTCGATATTGTGTGTAGAAGGTATCTCGAACGTTATTTATGACGAGCTCTTTGATTGTAATTTGGAAACATTTCCGCATATACTTGAAAGCAACGTCGTTTATGTTGAAAGGAAATTGTTCACCAAAGGCCACGTGATAAAGTGCTGTTTTGGTTAGGCCTTTAAAAACAATTCGTCATTCTTTTGACAGCATTTGCAGGTTCAAGATCTTTATCTTTAAGGAATCTTTCTAGTCCAGTTTTAACTGTGCATTGTTAATATTTTCCTGAACAGATTTGGATGCACACTAAGTTTTTGAAGTTTACAAGTTGGACAAAGACGTTCTACATTACTGCTAATTTATTTTATTAAAAATTTCCATCTCTAATTAAAGACACTATTTTTGGTGCCACGATACTATAAAATCACATGACCTAAACGGGTCAGCAATAATATTCCTTCTGCAATAGCCAAACCCATTCGAAGAAAATAACAATTAAGTGTAAAATATATTGTGTGTGTTTGTTATTTTTAATTTAACATGTTTTTTCTTTTTATTTATTAATTAATAAAAAGTTTTGACATATAATATTATTAACCAACACCCAAGCAATAACCTAGGGTCTTTGAAACAATAATTTGTGATGTGAGGCATAATTCATGACATGAGGCATAATTTGTGACTCGATGCATAATTAATGACACAAGACATATGCAATGTCAGTTCTTACTATAAATGAAGACCCTAATTGCAAATTTTATCTCATAATAATGTAATAATTATTAAGTATAATTAGTATAATTTGATGAAAAAACTAATGTAAAATTATTACGGTGCAGATCATCTATAATCATTAATTGCTTATAGTAACAATTGATCAACTTCAAAATACTAGAACAAAAAAAATTATATCATTTTAAAAAATTTAACCGATAAGTTTTATTGTTCATGACTCAAGCTTCAAAACTTATCGGC